TCCTTTATTTTCATGCAGAGAGCAGCTATAACAAGGCAAAGCACTTTCCCTCTGGGGTTAACAAAGTTCTTTGAATCTTGAAAACAAACAATACAAACATAGAGATATATAAAAAATTGGTGCATATCAGCCTCTCTAGACCTCCACTGATAGGTTACTGTATGTAGAAATTATCTAATGTGTCCTGAGATGACTTTTGTTGTGATTTGGTGCTATACAAATACAGTGGAATTGAATTGAATTAATGACATATCTGTAATAATCTGAAATTAGCTGTAGTACTGGACATGCGGGTGTTGTCAGAATCAAATCTGAGGAAATGGTGACAAGGACATATAGTCTACATCAGGAAAGCAGAAACAACATGCTCACTAGCCTGTGCTCTTTACTGTGCAGGCACATTAAACTTAAAATTAGAATTAAATCCCGCTCTAGTTGAGCTGGTCATAACCCACTGACACATGCAACTGTAGTGCACATTTCAGGTTACAAGCTAAACTGGGGACCAGTGCAGCTTTCCACCTCTGGTTTTGTGTTCACAGTCTTTATGCTTCCCCCTTCGTCTAAAAACAGAGAACCACAGTCCATTGTCCAGTCTGACTTATTCTTTTACAACACTTTTTTTTTTTTAGAAACATAACTGTCACACATGGTCTTCTATCCCAAATGAGGCTTTGAGTGAAACAGCGGGCACTTGGCAGCAGGATCAGTGCACGTCTGCAGGAGTCTGTGTCATGGAGGGAAAGTACCACCAACCACCAGTCAACTGTTGCTGAATGTTTCTGTCTCTCCTCTGGCACACAAGCATCACATTTAGGGTCTTTTTAATGCGAAAAAAGTGTTTTCTTTGTGGTAAAACAGTGAAAAGAGCTGGTGAGCTGTGTCGTTTCCTGTCCTGTCTGCAGTGGCTGGAGGAGAAGGTAATGCCTAGCGCAGAGCATCGTGTTAGAAGAGGTCAAGTATCAGGTACATCAAACAATCTGTCGGCATCAGTGGGGGGAGATTTGTCTTTCGACTGCAGAGTGGGAAATACCTCTGGACTCTCGTCGCAGTCGAGACGTTTACACAGCTGCGACCAGTTATGAAAATGAATTATGATGATGATTGTTTTGGTTTATTCTGTTTTATGCACAGCACACGGTAAGATCATAAAACTACTGGAACTTTCAGGGGACACAGACATAAAGTCTGTAATGGGTTTGCTTTCTCTGCCAAAACCTGGACTTTATGGATTTTTTTTATCCAGAAAGATTTGGATCTTTTTTCTTTTCCACGGTTTTGTGTACTACTTGATGTAAGTGCATGTGTGTGTCTTTTCCCGTTTGCCTTGTTTGTATGCTTTTATCCATTTATTGCTTCTAAAGTGTCCTTTGGGGACAAAGAGAATTACTTCACTGTCTGATGCATTTAATAACTCCCTCTGTGTGTGTGTGTGTGTGTGTGTGTGTGTGTGTGTCTGAGTGCCTATTTGCATGTGTGTGTGACTGCACCGTCTGTTCCATCCAGTAACCTTGGTCTTACTGGCTCTACTGTAGGCTATAAAACATTATGATACTGCTGGAATGCCACACACCACAGGGGTTTCTCCCTCACACAGGCTTCCTTCACCATTTCATTTATATTTTAGGACAAATCTCTGTGTGTTCTACGTGGAAAATAAGCTTTAGAACATCATATTAAATAATAAAGGGTGTCCTTGGCTTCATCACTACCAAATAAAACCTTTTATTGCCTGTAATCTATAACTCTGTACCAGATCCCAGTGCAAAAACCCATCTTGGTCAATTGAAAAATTGTCTTACAGCACACCTGATACACAACAACTAATACCCGAGTCACTATATATCTAACAATCTTCTAAACATGTCTTTCTGTAATTCCCTTATCCTTCTGTTTGACAAAGGAAGCCAAACTTTTTCAAATGCTAACTCTAATCACAAACAGATAACAGTAAAAAAATCAACTGAATTAAATATTCAGGTAAATAAAGATCCATGCATCAGCTGTGCTACAAAAAAACTCTCCATAATCTCAAAAAAAAAGCTCTCTTAAAAGATCTAGCCTCTAAAAATCCCAGATCTCAGTCACTGTCACAATCTGACCAATTATTCTTCAATGGAAGTGTTTTGTGTTGCACCAAATGTGAGTGAAATATCTCCTGTTGGGATATTGTACTGGAAAGAAGGCAAACCAACTCAGTGGAAACACCATTTCACTGGCAACCTCCTGGAAACTATGTGTTCTGTTTGTCTTGCTCAATGGGACACTTCTGGTATAGGACAGATGTTGAAATGATTTCTGTCACTTTATTGGGGTACATGTGTTTGCTGGACGTACCCGCCTTCAAAGATCTTGATACGGATCGGTTCGTTGGCAGGCTGTTTGACTGAGACCTCCTTCTCTACCTGCTCCTCCTTCAAACGGTCCCACGACACCACTCCCTTCATCTTCCTCCCAAAATTACTGACATCGACTGGCATCAGCTCTGGCTTCAACTGTAATGACAGAAGAGGAGGAAGCAAAGAAAAAGATCGTGCTAAGACTGTTTCAAATTGCTAATTACATCCTTAGCGAACATACCTGATCAAACCTCAGCTTCCAGGCCACAGATGACACCAGTTTTCCAGAGCTGGGTGGGGACATGGCTGCAGTTGTGTATATCGAATTGATGTTTCTCCTCTGTTTGGACCGCAGCAGGGCTAACGCAGCCTTGGTACTGAGGTTCAGAGGGTTGGGATTGTATGAGCTTACACACCATGAGCTGTAGACAGAGCTACGCAAGGCGGCTTGGGTGTTGTTGGGTTTGGTGTAGTTCAGGAAACACCAGCTGACTCTACTCATGGTGCGCAGGCTAGGGAACCGGAAAAACTGCTGGACATCAGTGATATCTGTGAGTAGGAGAGTCTGGCCCACTGCTCCGGACAGTCCTGCGCTCTGATTGGCAGCTAGTTGAACAAGCATGTTGACAGGCATTTTACTGGGTGGAGGTTGCTTTGTGTTGTCAGTGTCTTCTGCATCGTTGGAGGAGACCACGGACTGGGGGCTGGATTTGGGCTCTGGGGCTGAATCGTCCACATCCAGCTCCTCTGGAGAGTCCCGGCCACCTGCAACTGGGGAACGGTCTGTGACAATCTGGAGAGGAGGGGTGAAGCTCTCAGCCCGTGGTAGGTCAGAAAGGTGGGGGGCAGAGGATCGGACGGGAATGGCAATCTTTGTGGCAATGGGGAAGTCACTTAGTGGAGGAGAAGAGGACATTCTTTCAGAGTCATCCATGGAGCCTTCACTCTTCAGATGGGCGTGATGGCCTATGCTCTGACCCTTGTCAGGCTTGTTACTGCTTTCAGTTCCACTCAGTTCCACGGCACTCATCTCCTTAACAATTTGTCCATACATCCTCTCCTCCTTCACTCTTTTCTGCTGCTTAGTCTCAATGAAGAGCTCCAGAGAGCTGGCGGGAGAAAGCATGCGCTTGCTTCCTCCAATGCCAGACCCTGAGGCGTCTGTGGTGGATATGGTGCCCGACGTTAGTGACAGCGGTATCCCTGTGTTCAGGCGTTGTTCTGGCAGTGCATCTGAAACCTTTGAGAGTGGGTAGTGCAGCACTGAGCCATCGGTCTGTCCTAGGAGGTGAGACAGGTTGAAACCTGCCCCACTTATGCCTCCTCCAAGTCCTCCAGGTGGTTTGCTGACACTTGCAACACAAACTGGAGGAGACATGTTGCTGTTCTCAGCACCTCCAGGCCTGGTGGAGCCTATCCCTTGTGCTCCACTGCCATTGGCAGCTATCAGCTGGCTAACACTGGTGTACATAGCAGTCCCAAATGATGGCACATGGGTTTGGATCCGCACAGGAACCAGCATACCAGGCAGAGAAGACTGGGGGACCAAGTTCTGGGTGGCAAAGATGGGTTGGATCTGCTGCAGAAGCATGGGAGTGTTGGTGGAGCTGGGCAGCAACAGCTTGGAGGAAAGACAGCCAAGGTTTTGCTGTTGTTGCTGGGGCAGAGGAGAAGTGCGAGATGAAAATGAGGTGGGGTACATCTGAGAGCTCGGGTTTTCTGATTTTCCATCATATGGATGTTGATCATGGATTTGCTGCAGGGGGTGGAGTGGTTGTTGTTTGCCTGGTGATCTGATGTGGAGTTTCTGGATCTGCTGCTGGGCCTGGAGGGTGAGCTGCTGTCTGGGTGCCTGTCCGGCCTCCTGACTCCAGAACAGACCTGGCTGCTGGAAGGAAATGAATGGGGGACCGCTCTGGTACTGCTGATTTACTTCCTTGTTCACAGCCTCGTGACCTGGAAGTTCCCCCTCAGATGATGAGCCCTGGGCCTGCAGGCGATACTGCTGGGACCTATTATGGAGAAAAGGATGAATGTTCCTATGTTTCTTTTCTTATTGTAGGTAATATAAAACATATCGTACTGTAAAAGAAAAAACAATTGTTAAAAGCATACCAGTAGTAATGAATAAAAATACTCATGAATTTGAATGTCATATTGTCCAGTTTTTGTCCATCACAGCTAATACAAAGGGCTATTAGTAATGTTAGGGCTGAGTAGGGAACCAGACTTTCTTACCTGCCATAAAGAGGTTCATCCTGCAGGCTGTCCTCACTGATACTCTGCTGGAGGAGATGCTGGTGGTGCTGTTGGTGTTGGTGAGACCCTACACCTGGAAATAAAACGCAGTGTATGTTGAAATAAAATTATTGCCTATAAAAGCAGCTCATCTGCTAATCCCATATTACTCCCCCAGCACTGTAAAACCTGCATACTTTGAGTAGAGAAAGACAAAGCATATCATCATGATCAAGAGATGTTTTTGGAAAGTATCACAAATTAACTGAGCTGTTACTTCAGTCTTAGTGAAGTGTGTTTATCAGTGGAAAATTATATAAAATCTTATATCTGATCACATACATAATGTAATGTAAGGCTTACCACCAGTGCTGCTGCCAGCTCTCTTGGTTCTGCCGGCTACATCGCTGCTGCTGTGGAGGGATCCTGCTGGTCCAGGCCACACCCCATGGTCCAAACTCTCCTGTTTGATTGACATCTCTGCGCCCCCTGGTTCCTGGATGACTGCCTCTGGATAAACACTCAGTGAGGCCTGTAAATGCACGTGTAAGCAGGGAAGTGAAAATGGGTCAGTTGTATGAAATGTTTATGTTTTGCTGTACTGACTAGGTGTGCAAGCCTAAAGATAGGTGCAGTCACAACGGAATGTCGATACATGTCTACTGGTGCCTCAGACCCTTCTGAGCCCCCTTTTAATTTTCCGGTCTCGGTTAAAGTACCTACTGTACATGCTCAAACTAAAGGACAACAGTGGTCTATGTGAGCAACTAAAACTTCCAGTCAAATTTTTAAGAATGGGAAGCTTTTTATTCTACCTGTCGGACGAGATATCCACGCCGGCGTTCCTTCATTGCAGAGGCACTGGAGTACACCTCTCCCTGTCTGGAGGAGGACAAGCTTCCATAGTCAAAGGATTTGCTGCGCATTTCAGGCAACTCTGTGGGCAGGGTGCACGGTGCCTGCTCTGATGAAGATCTCCTCATCTCCCTCTGTTGGTGATGGCTGGAATGACCGCTGCCAGGCACTGTCAAGAACTCTGATTGCTTTGCTCCGCCACTGGAAGTCAACGAATCATCCTGGTATAGAAACACAAAGAGCATTGCTTTTTAATTCTCCTACTTTGTTTGCACTTACTAAGAGCATGCTATCTTATACGTGCTACATAATAACATAGCTACGTTAGAGCCATTACAAGTGTACTTTATTATTTACTCTGATACATTAGTATTATCAACTAATGTGACACAGTAAGGATAAAGTACACTAACCACCTTAGGACCAAGCAGAGCCAGCGATGAAAGCTTAGCTCAGTACTAAACATATAACTGGGTACCTGTTTGGTGGGTGAGGCAGACTTGAGGCCTTCATCTCTGTCAAAGGACATGGAGAAAGAAGAGGAGTGGGACAGATTGCTCTCTTGACTAGGGCTGCGAGATAGGCTTGTGCAGGTTGACTCAAAGCTTGATTCTCCAGATGAATGCTCTATATCTGCCAGGCGCAGCCTCTTCTTCTTGGGTGGGAGCTTTTCCGATGGCATCTGGGAGAGCGTGTCACTCCTCTGTGGCAGCTGGAACTCCTCAACATGCTGCTGCTGCTGCTTCTCTGGTTCCTTGGTCATTGGTGCTTCTGTATCTTTCTCAGGCTTGTCTGGCTCCTCCGTCACCCTGATCTCAGGAACTTGAATGTTAGGTTGTCGGACTAGTTTGTGCGGGATGTGGTAAGGCTGGCCAGGTGAGGCCGCAGCTGATGAAGATGAGAGAGAGGCCAGGTCACTGTCACTTTGCAGCTGCTGCTCCATGCTCTCTGTCCTCAGTAGGGCTGATTCAGGACTCAGAGCATCTTCAAAGATCTCTGTGTCGGACTGTTCAGAGTATTGGCTAGATGGAGCTTTATCTGAAGGCTGAAATCCTGGCTGTTCAAAGGACTCTGACTTCTCAAAGGAATTTGGTCGGCTGAGGGAGTTGGTGTGCTGGATGACTGATATGACATTGCCAGCTGCCTTCCTGCCCTCAGAGTCAGGAAACAAGGCAATGTCCTCAGAACACATGCTGTTACAGGTGTCAAAACTGTCAGACTGGCTGTGAGCACTATGAAGTGAGCCCTTCCCTGTTAGGGTGGCTCTGGACCCATCAAGACTACTTTGTTTAAACTCATAGTCCCCTATCATCTCCACTGAACTACTACAGCTACTGTCACATTGTCCAGGGCTGTCCTCCTCATCCCCAACACTCTTCTCCTTCCTCCTCTTTCTTGTGGCTATTTCTGACATGCTAACTCTTGTACCATATGGGCTGCGCTCACCAATCTTCATACCCAGTGATGAAGCTAAATTCTTAGGCATATATCCATAGCCCTCAGCCTCTCCTACATGGGGTTCATTGGTTGAATGCTCAAATGCAGCTTGTCTCTGGAGTCTACGAAGCCCTGGTGGGTAAAACACATCATCCGATGTCATCATCTCATCAAAGGAGTGGCTGCCTCGAATCCCTGGGGGGACACTGAGGTTAGGTGGGGAGGATGTTGGCACTGAATTACTCCTAATAAGGGGCCCAGAATCTGATGGAGGCTCCAGAAGCCCTGTACTGCTTTGACAAGGTCTGGTGGGATACTGCTTGGGATCGCCAGAGATGCCTACATCCCCTCTGAAACAGATATGATCCTCAGCTATCTTTCCCATGTCTAGAATAGCACCTGATTGTTTTAAGCTAGCCAGGCTGCCTGGGTCTGCTCCTGCCACGCCCACTGTGATAGACTGTCTGGATCTGGAGTTGGGTCGGTAGTACCAAGTCCGACCAAACATAATCTCTTCATACGTCTTGACATTAGTATTTGGAGGGCTGATTTGCTGCTCTGCACTCTCAGACCGAGAAAAATAGCCAGAGTCTGTGCTGCCTTTGCTGTGAGGACTGAGGAGGTTCAGGGACTGGGACAAGACAGAGTCCGAGTCCTGGCCTTTTTTCTCATTCAGCCTCAGAGACAAACGTTCTTTGATGGTGGGGGAGCCAGCCTGTGATGCCAACATGTGATGTGACCCTTTCATGTCCTGAAAGGGATGGCATGCCATCCCTGTGGAGGGGACTCCCCCAGGCTTGGGGATGATAAGGATAGGCACTTTCATAGACCCCACAGGCAGCTCTTCAGCTGAGTCTGCATATGGTGGTTCTGCAACACCTATACAGTGAGAAAGACTGAAATATGATATAGAGTAAAGCAAAGTAGAGCACAAACAGACAGAAATGTACTGTAGGTATTAGTCTAGACTGGGACCTTTTAAAAAAAATCAACAAAGCACAATTTTCTTAAAACCTTTTCAGCTTTGATTATTAGTTCAAATCACCACATCCACACCAAGCAGTAGTTGCACCTATTGACTGCACCAAGTTAATTATAGGAAAGGAGTCAAAGGTCAGACACAGGGTGTTTTTGAATCAAAATGCTTTGGTTTCTCAAAAATTGGGCTTTTATGCAGAAGAACTTTATGCATTTTAACCATGATAGTTAATTTTTGAAAATGTGTTTTGTCGAGGTGAAAATGACCTGTGCTCTTGTCGGCTTTGAAGGAGATCTGTGGCACAAGGCTGTCTTTGTCTGTCAGCATGGTAGAGGCCTCCACACCTTCCTCATCTGTGTCAGTACTCTGTTCTCCATCTGAGTGGACCTCAGCCTCGCCCCCTGGCGATGCCTGGTCCATTTCCCCGCTGCGGGCCACGGCTAGCTCTGAAAATGGTACGAGTCCAGCCTTGATGGCATGAGCGTGGGACTTGCGATGCTTGTAAAGGTTGCTCTTGGTTTTGAAGGAAAAGCCACAAGGTACACAAGGATATGGCCTCTCTCCAGTGTGTGAGCGGATGTGCTTCTTTAGGACACTGGGCTTGGCACAAGCTCGACCACAGTAGTGACAAATGTACTTACCGGGCTTTTTCGGCTTCTGTTCTTTTTTGCTGTAGCCCTCCTCTCCAGGATCAGGGCCTGACTGAGAATACTGTCTAAAGGAGCTGGGTAAACTGGGAGATTTCTGGCGGGAAAACCTCCCTGCCCCAGCCCCATGAGGGTGAGTGTGTCCTGGGTGTCCTACAGGGTACAGGTCATCCGAGGGCAACTGGCCAACAAATGGCCAGGCATGCGGCTCTAGGCCTGGCTGGGGTTTAGCTCCTGAGTGGAAGCGCTCAGTTTGGGGGTGCTGAGGATACGGTTGACCCAGCTGGTAGGAGTATCCCCTTGGAAACCCCTGAGCAAAGGGCCCTTGAGGATCTTGAGGTGGCGGACCTCCTACGGCTCCAACTGCAGAGGGTCCAGATAGCAGCTTTCCAGAATTCCCTGTGATTGCATACTTCTGCTGAGGTGCTGATCTTCCAGAGGCACCACATGGCAAACTCTCACGGTGTTTTGCCTCTGGGTCAGCAAAAGTGCTTCGTTTGGTTGTTGCACAGGGCTCAGATGCCCACTTTCTTTGCAGAGGTGCCTTATCCTTCACTGGTTCCTTATTTGAGCATTTTTGCCCAACGACAGCTGATTCATGAGCCTCCATTTTTTTGAAGCTCGTCTATGGGTTACAAGTGGGAGAAGAGAGGGGATGGTGGGGGAGCTGGGAGGGGTTGTGAAGGGTTACAAGGTCCGCAAACTTCCAGGCATGACAGCTGAACCTTCGAAGGCTGCCGAAAAGTTTAATGAAGCATGAAGTACCCATCCATTACTTAAACAGACTGTAGATCCAGGCTGGAAACAGGAATTAGGAGGTGGAAATAAAAGGGAGGCCTTAGTGGATAACATCAGAGATGTTTCTCTCCTTTTGCAATTTTGTTAACACACGAATGCTATTGTGCGTTGTTTTTCTGTCCAGTTCATCCAAAGGCAGAAAGATCCTTGAGTGATCTGGAGAGGGTAGAAAAAGAAGAAGCCATTGACTTGTGGAGAGCATTTAAGTTAAAAGTGTCTTTAGCAGCTTCAGTAAATCAAAATGAATAACACAATGAGCACTGACAAAGGGTGAATACTAACTTTATTTAGGTAAAAGTGCTTGGAGATCTTCTCTCTGTAGCTTCAAAAGTCATTCAGTATTCTCACCAAAATACCTGCAGCAAAACAAATGACAGAAGAAGTGAATTAGCATCCATTAATACACTATTCAAATTCAGTGAAAGCACAGTACAAGAGAACCGTTCACCTGACATCTCCCTCTTACCATCAGCTGGTTTTGTGTTGAAACCTTGGAGTAATTAAAGTAAGAGGTAACATTCTGACTGCCAAGTGCAACACACCATCCTGTACTTTCTTGTACAGAGAGGATGCACTAAGTTGTCAAGAACATGTCTGATGTGCGAATGTAAATGTCACTGATTGCTCTGTTAGTTTCTTCACACTGGAATCCATCTGTGCTATCTGCCTTTTCCACCCCTTCCTCCTCCCCGCCGCCCTCCCTCCTCCTTCCACTCAGTGAGTCACTGGTGCAAAGCAAACCCACGCTGTTCCTAAAAAGACACAAAGGCTTATAAATAGCACTGTGGAAGTGACGTCGGCGTGTCATAATGTGTGTAGGCATCTAAGAAGGCCAAGTCGAAGACAGGCCATCAGTGCTAGCGCCTTTCCTTCCTCTCTGGGTGTCATAGTTTGATCTACCTGGAATGTACTCTGTCAAAAAGCAAACAAGACCACATACACATATACACCGAAATAAAAAGAGACACACACAGATAGATACAGATGCAGTACTTGTGGGCATTACAACTGCACTGCAAACACTGCAGCTGACATTGTATGTGTGTGTTTCCGCTGTTCAACGTTTCTTAACCACACAACACCTGACAGCAGAATAAGCACAGAGCAGCAGAGCACACACACACACACACACACACACACACACACACACACACACACACACACACACACACACACACACACACACATGCCCGCTGAAATTGCATTTTTGCTTTGTATTTCCTCATCTCAGGGTTTAAACAACCTCCCTCGCACTCTGATTGCAACACACACTCACCGTGGCCTCAGTGCTTGTAAGCAGGGCTCAGTGACGTCTGTGCCTAGGGGCCCAACGTGTGATCTATAAATAACAGTGGAGGAAAACATGCTGTATTCTTAGCAGCAGGAACGTTAACTTTGGGTTCCCTTGTGTTTTTCACATACACCCCACACACACATAGAGATACACACTCACGCCAGAAACATTATCTCAGACCTGGGTCATATGTTTGTGTTTTCCATGGTGTTAAGAGTGCAAGAATGTGGACTGAAACCCAAAAGACTGACTCCTCAGTTAGAAACAATGGGTATTCACTTTGGCCAGTATCAAACTCTGGGCGATGTTTATTGATTGGCAGGAAGGTCAGCTGATGTAACTGACATAACTAGAGGCAAATGTACACAACAGGTGGATCCCAATTCCACTAAATGTATCCACACATCTTAGTCCCACCCACATAAGATACAACGAGAGACTTTGAGGAGAGGAGAACCGAGGAAACACATTTTAACTGATACGATACTTTCTCATAACCCATCCAGACCTCTGATCCTTCATGTAAAGCATCCAATCACAAACTGATTTCCAACACAGGGACGTGCCAATCTGTAACATACCTCCGCAAAGGTTGCCCTTGTGTATCCTCGAATATATGTACGTAGCTTCTCCTGACAGCCTCCTCGCTCTTCAGTCCTCAGAGCAGAAATAAAGCTTTGGGATGTCCTTCATCATGGTGGACTGGAATGACTCGCGGGTCGAGCGAGGATCGCGAACCAAGGAATGATAATATAGAGGAATTGGGATTCACCCGTTCTGTGGTGATGACTTGGGGGTAGAGTTGGTACAACTAATGGGCAAGACCAGGCAAGGCAGCTTTATGTGATTAACACTTTTCAAATGCAGCAGTTTAATGGTGTGTACGTTACTATACACCCAAGGGTGAAACACACCAGTGATGCAGCATCATGTGTCGTTTTTGACGCCTGCAGCACACATCAGACAGTGCTGCACAAAGAGAACATGACATAAAGGTCCAGTAGCGGGAACGTGCCAAAGTGGAAAGCAGATTAAATCAGTGTGGGATGAGTTAAAAATGAGGTCTGGCTGAGTTAAGACTTGAATAAAGTTAGGTTTAGTGTAAAACACTGACTTTGTAGCAGCTGACAGTTTAAAAACATTGTTTCATCCTTAACTCATGATTCTGTTTTGCATTAAATGTTCCCTCACAAAATTTACACACCAATGTCACATTTTCTGAATGTTTAGCCTTGATCCAGGATAACACAGGGATGGAATTAGAGGAAGCATTTCAGTCACTCAGAATTTGTAATGAGAAGAATGTTAGTAGTAAAGATGGCAGGGAAATGAGGAAAAAAAACCAGGTGCCATCTTTGATATTCTGTGGTTTGCTCTTACATCGGTGGATGTCATTCCTGTGAGGAATCTGATGAGGAATCAAGAAATGTGTTTGATGAATCGGGACTCATATGTCTTTGGATTTAATTAGGGTTTTCTTAGAATGAAGCTTCACTAATTTAGTAAGTTTAACCTTAAAAAACATCCCATCTTTTCCATTTCCAATGCCACAAATTCAGTCACTTTGATCACATTAATTTCTGCTGCTGACTATAACTTTTTGAAAGAGATCTTTTCACATAACCAACATGGCTTTAGTGACTTGACAGCAAAATATATATTCACTGAAAGCTGGACTCACCAAGGAAAGTTCAACCTCTTTGTTCTCTCAACCCACACAGCCACATTTAGCTCCCTGACTATTGATTTCTAGCTACTCAAGTCCTAAAAATTCAGACACTTACTGTAACTCTTGCTGCCCACTGGGGTTGCCAAAGGACGAAGCAGCTTATTGCAGCTTTACTGCCTGCTGTCTCTCACACACACACACACAAACCTCAACAGTCTCTCTCCTCCTGACTCACACAACCATAATAACAAAGCAACTAATTCTGATCTTAAATCATGTAGATAATTCTCGGTTAAACACCAGTTTAGCCTTATGTAAGCTGACTTGTTTTGTAATGAAAATGCTGAATGGCTGCAGTCTGCAGAGAGAGTAGGAGCCTGTAGTGAATGGCTTACATAAAGCTTTATTCATACAAGCACCGGCACAACCTGCTCCAGTTGCTGTGCGTAGGAGAGACATTGCTGCGGGCGTTGTTTATGTGTGTGTGAGTGTGTCAAGTTAGCATGCCAATTGTGTGTGTGTGTGTGTGTGTGTGTGTTGAGGGAGGGGGTGAAAAAAGGGCATGACGAGACACCCAAGTTGTAGGGAGAGTGCAAAAATGTGGTCAGAAACAGTGAAAAGGTGCATTCAGAGGCAATACTCAGAGGTACAAACAGACGAGCACACACAAGTAAACACTCACATCCAGTGATTTATCAGAATGCTTTAAATAACCAGAGTTACTTAACATAAAGGAGCAGAGATCAGCTCAGCTTTCATAGACATGGAAACAGATCTAGGTGGTGTTTTATACCCACTGCATGCTTTTCTTAGAATATCAGACCTGATCTAGGTTTCCTTTGTGTGTGTGTATAGGCAAGCTGAATGATCCTATTTGCCCAAAGCAGTGTGATGTACAGTATCTCAAGTTATCACAACCAGACAGTGTGACTTCTAAACACACAACGATGCACTAGGAACTGACCTCTTTAGTCACTTTTTGGGGGGATTGGTGTAGGGTGAAGTGAACAACACCTCATGAATTCAGTAAACAACCACTCACTCATCTCTGGTTATATTCAAACTGAAAACTAAGACACTAAGAAACTGCGACCTGAGCAGAAAATGGATAGATGAAAACCAAGAGAAAGCAAGCCCATTTAATAGTTATCACTATAATTTTTGATAATCAGAAAACATTTAGCTACAGCTGAAAATGATTACAAATTTTTTCACCGATGTCACATCAATATGTGATTTTTTTAACCAATTACTTAGAGGGGGATTAATAGTTGTGCATTCAGGGGTTCCAGTGTCTGCCATAGCCAGCTACTATAACAAATGAATGTTCTCTACTTATAAGCAGGTATACAACACATTAGTCTAAATAAAACAGTCTAAAACTAAAAGAAATGGTTCAGTTCTTCTGCCAAAAATGGCAGTTAAAACAATATGGCTCTGTACCCAACACTGTGTTTCATTACAACAAGGATGTTTGAGGAAGCTCCATGTTGGATTGAGATGTTCAGTGGAAACCTCCTGTGTAAACAAGTGGATTCACAGTGATCAATAAGACATTCAAGAGAAGTGAGGTGCATGCAGGTACTGTATGTACAAGTACACTCACACGTATACCCAAACCCTGGAGATATGAATGCTGTGTGGGCATGAGAACAGAAGGCTGTGTGTGACTGTGCTCTATGAGGAGTGTGGGAGGCTGCTCTAAAAGGAGGGCCGAAGGCACGCTCTCTCTCCCTCTTTCACTTCATTTCATCCAGACTCATTGGAATGACAGTTGGGAATAATGTTGCCAAAATGACAAGATAATAGATCAACATAAGGCTGTGTTCAGACTGAGTTTCAAGGTTGTGAAAAACGCAGCCATCTCCATTCATTTCCATGGAGGACTGCGTGCACCGCAGGGCGCTCCGGAAAACGGACACAACCATGTATGGCGACAAAAAAATTGGATCTGGTTTAGCTTTCATCGCACCGGACGGTGACATCATCTGGCAAAGGTGCTGTGTCGACCAATCATGTACGGAGGAAGATCAAGACATGGACGCCCATGGGAAGAAGACTCTTTTGTTTACCTTGTTAGTATTCGAATTCACTGCTATTAACTGTCGAATTTGGGCCACAGATAATGTGCCATAACGACTTTGCCTTAAATTTTCATTAGTACTGGACGTTACGGTGTTTTTTTAATCTATCAGTGCCGACACACTGGTGGTAGAATTGGTGCTAAGGTAGGTAGAGTAGGCTATGTTAGCAGCACGGCTAGCCACGTACATTAAACACAGCAGTGAGTTGTATTTGTACCGGATCAGTCTGAATGCCCACTTAGTGTAAATCTCCTTCCCTCCTCGTATCATTATCAGTGTGTGTGTGTTTGTACATTTGTGATGCATTCA